AAAAAAAAAAAAAAAAAAAAACATAAATCGAAGAGAGAAGAAAAAGAAACCTGGATAGAGATTTTTAGAGACGGAGTTAGGCAAAATGAAATGAAGGACTGATTGAATGATATAAATAAATAATATAGTAAGGTGAATAATTTTAGGGCGATTTGGTAAAATTTATTTGACATACAATTCTTCGAGTATTCTTTTTCAATAATCGAAGATATAGTTGTTAACAAGGCTAAGTTTATATGGATTGTTAATTAGTTTTGTGATTGAATAAAACACAATGTAAGATATAAATAAATGTGAAACCAATGCCAAATATTAATTGAACTTCACCACTTCCTGATGATAATGATTTTTTTTTATAACGCAATGACTCTCTCATAGATATTGATTGACGTGATATTTGTAATTAACTTTATAATTGAAAATTACATTACATTTTTCAATATTCCTCTCGTATTATATATTTTTTTTTTCAATAGTAATAGAGAAGTTAAATTTATTTTTATATCTTTTACAGATATATTTTTGTATTGTAGAAAGGAATTAAAGTTAAATTTTAAAAAATAACTAACTTTAAATCGGAAAGTATTTGGCAAAAATTTAAAAATAGATTTGTCAAGGCTAATTATTAAAATTATGTATCAGTCTGGAATGTTTATTTCGCAGATTTATGATAAACGAATTATTGTCGTCGCAATTAGACGAATACGACAAGCTGCAAATTTTTTTTATTTTTCTAAGCAATTTTATGCTTCTAGGAAATTACCTTTTCTAACAAATTACGTAACTAAATAATCAATAGCAAAATAAAAGTATAAAATATCACAACCACGAAGTGAAAAATAGAAAATTAGAAAATCAAATAGCAGAGGTATGTCAAAATGAAAATGTTTACATAGACATGAAGTACATATTAATTACATAGAATTATATTCGTAATGTTGTAAGCATAAGAATCTTCTGATGGAATAATTGCATTTTACAAAACCTCTTTTGTAATTTTCATCGCATGAGTGATCATTACGTCAAATATTACAAATATTACTGTGTCGAGGGTAGCTGGTTAGTCAAGAAACAAATGTTTCGCTTTTACAAATATATACATATGTAATTTTTATCTTTTCTACAATAGATTCAATCTTATGCAATTAATTACATTGAAACGAATTAAACTAAACGTTATAAAAATACTGCTCTTTCTTTATTATCTCGTTACTACTATGAATTATTAATCAGAGTTATTTGTCATCATGTCGTAACTCTATGTACAATGTACTCTACTAATTTCGATTATTTGTCATTCTTCTAGGTTCTTTTTTCTTTATTCATGAGAAAAACTACGAAATTCAAGGCAGCAAGAAGACTTCCACTGGCACGTGACGTAACAATTGATTAACAATTCCGGCGAAGAGTACGGACAGTTTCCTCTTCAACTGAGGCTCCATCACCTTTAATACTTCCTGTCCGTTTTCACGAAGAAACAGGTTAGTTGCCTCGGCTGCAATGATAATTATTATCAATTGTCGATGTATAACAGTAATGTGTTTTCTATGTAATTATTTGATTAATTTTTTTACTAACCTTCTCTTCTTTTCATTTCTCAAGCTCATACATTTACAATTAAAATTATATAAATTACAGTTTCAATGCTATCGTTATTATTTTTCAAACTATATTAAATTTTTCACTGGCATTTCTTCCTACTAGGATATCACTATTACATTTTCCAAACTGGATTTTCACTATGAGATTGACGTTTTTATTTCTGATTGGATTTGTTAAGTTTGAAGAGAATTATAAAAATATTTCAGAAAGTGATAATAATATTCTTATTAATGAAGATATTTTTACAAATTATCGTACCAAAATTTTACTTATTGTTTTACTGTCATTTATGTCATTGAAGATAGTGGAAGTTTTGGTAATATATTAAATAAAATATATGTATACAGAAGACATAAGAGAATAAATTTATTGTGTCTTTGATGTAGTACTTACTGAGGATTCGATTGTTATTAAAAATCTTGCGCACTCTCATGTGTACATTCTTCACTTCCAGAACAACATCAAGATTATCCACGTTGAGGAACGTTTTCCCATCCCTCTCTTTTGTCGAAACAGTGCCTTTGACTAGGGCTTTGACATCATCAAACCGTGCGTGGAACGTTCCATTGCCACTGGCTGGTAAGATAATCAGCACTCCTGAACTGACATATTAAATGAAAATAAATGAAACAACACTATTATCAATATTGGTTGTAAATTTTCACTAACATTTTTATTATTACATAGTATTACGTACCTAAGATAATGTGCTATTTGTTTCATCTTTAATTTAATTGATTTACTGTTAAAAAACTTTTTCGCAAATATTGTGTAACGTAAGAAGAACTTAATACAAATAAGCTAGACTAAAGAGCAGAATCTAAATAGAGCAGGAGCATTTGCAGATCGTGAACCTGGAATAATGCGCATCCAAGATGAGGGCTGGCATTCGTACAATAGCCTCGAAGGGTGAGCCAAGCTTGATGTCGTCCACAGTATAATTGCTCGCTCCCCTTACGAACAGTTCACGCAGTTGAACCTTATAACCGTTTGTACCACCTGTCAGGGAGAGAGTCAGCTCGTCCATCTGTTAAAATAAACGAAGTCGTAGCAGATATGTGGGATAACCAGTAGTAAACTAGGGTCGACATTAAAATTTGCTAAATTCCTTGTCATATTTTAATTTCGATAGCTGAACGTGAGAATTTATACCTTTTTGATTTCTCATTCTCAACTTTGTAGAATATTTTGTAATCAAGCCAAATTTTCTTATTTCGAAATGTATAGAAACAACTAGCGAAAGCCTATGAAGGGAATTAATTGGTACGCAGTTAATATGATATTAAGCGTGAAATTTTCGAATTTTTTCAGTGTCGAATTATCAGAAAGTGTTGCATAAATTTCTTTTTGGATATCAAATTTGAAAATTTTCCAAGTCAAGGGAAATTAGAAATTAAAGATTCGTCATTTTTTAATTTTTGTTATTTATAAACGCGCACGAAAGATTTTTAATTAAAAAGTTTCCCAACTCCTTTTCACTTTCCCTTTTCATTGTCAGTTTCTTTAAATCCCAAATTTATGTGATTTTAATCTATGGCTCCCCGAATTCTAGGTAACTATGATAAATAATGAAATTACGAATAACCACGAAAAGTGATTATCTTACTGACGCATTTGCATTTAAATTTCTCTCGATACATTTATAATAAAATTTGAAATACTTCGTCGTCAATTCTGTTAAGATAGGAAGCATTCACTTTCATTATAATAGAAGGATATTGAAAGTAGTGAGAAACTTACGCGAAATGGTTCTACGGAAGGCAGCTCGATTTCCGGTATTCCAACGCTCAAGTACGGTCTCAAATGGTGCAACGCATCGATCAGGCATGCTTTCAGTTTTGGATCGCTTCTCGAACATTGTTTCACATATTCAGCTGTGATTAAAACAGAAATTCATCGAACCATTAAATAGTTATTAATTGATAACAACTACACTAATACATTTACAAAAATTTTGCGATAAAATACAGTGTTCGTTATAATATTTAATAAACGAAAGAGATCTTTATTTAGATTCTCATATAAAAGTCGCAACGCAAGGAGGATTCACCAGAAAAAGGGAGAATATCCGAACGAAGTTTTAACATTTGTTTTCCTATGTGCGCAAACAAAATGTTTGCGAGTTGATACATACTCTGATATATGAGAAAATGTAAAGTTCTGAGTACCAAATGCATACTAAAAAATAAATTTTCTGAAAAATGCTGGAACTTGATATTTCTCTTTTTCATCCTAATGAATTCAGACCATTTAATTGTTAAAACAGCTATACGATAACTTACTCTTTTACGTTATGAATAAACAGTTAACAGAAATTAAAAGGATTCCTTGAATATTGATAAGCATTATTAGATGGAAGATAATACTTATTATAATAATTATTAGATGGAAGCGGAAAGGCACATTTGTTGCGCGATAAGGTAGTTGCCAGGCAACTTGTCAATTGCAATCGCACATTGTGAAATTCGACTTTTTTGAGGGATACTTGCACGACTGACCTCTTTACTTCGCATGGTGTATTTATGTAACATTTACCTTTACCACTCTAGCCTCGACGAAATTCTACAATCACCTATTCGTATCTGAATAAGTGCAAATTCCTTGCACAGTGCGAAATGAAAAGATCGACATAACAGTTGTCGGTGCTCTAAATGAATTTACGAAAAAAGAAATGAAAGAAATATTTACACGTTCACTTCTCTATTTTTTAATCTCGAAATTGAAACTAAATGACAAGACTTTCTCAAGTTATAAAAATTTAGTTAGTTCTACACGAAATTAGTTCGATCTTAGAAGATTAAAAACTAAGAATCTAATAATAATTTTAGAAAATATAGATTCTTGATTGAGTTTGAAATACTGGAAATGATGATTATTATTTAGATTGTTTTTTTCTTTTTTCTGTACAGGAATTTCCATGTTTTAACATAGAAATTGTTGAATACGCGTTCGTGCTTTAATCTATAATGGTGAAAATGTTACATAAATCCTTTTTCATTGTTACATAAAAATTTCTATGTTTTTATATAGAAATATGTTAAATGTTACGTACAATCAATCATAAAAGTTTAGATACGTATATCTATCAAATTTCAAATATTTAAAACGAAAAAGATATTTTTCTTTTTCAGAAGGGACAGAAAAATATTAATCTTTATCGACTCTTTGACTTCAAGGATTAAAGTTTCCCATTGATTCATTACTTAATCATATCATTGACATATATCATTAACATATATCATTAATCAATGTTACGTCAATACATTTCATTTGCTATTCTTTTCAATAAATTTATATCGTGAAATCCTTTTTCAGATATTTTTAATATTAAACGTTCTTAATATTAAAACTATAAAAAGAAATTCCTATACTCTATAATTTTACGAGACTTGAAGTACTGAAGTGAGGAAATTGAAGCATTTACGATATCCATAAGAGTTTTATCGAGTTCCTGGCCCCTTTAATTTATCCTTAAATAAACTACAAATTTTTGTGCATTTATAGAAAATTTACATGCAGTGCCTACGACGCATATATTCTTATAACACAGCATACGATACGAAGTAAATCTCTACGAAACAAATAAATGTCTACAAAAAAAAAAAAAAAAAATTAATAACGATGAATCATTGCTTGGTACTTAACCGAGAGAATCAAAAACAAAGTTGACCAAGAACTGGAATATAACAAATCCTAAAAATGTTCTAGCAGTTCTAATTATTCACGCCACATTCCCTATCTTATCAAACTTTCACTCGCTTTTCTACATACAAACTTGACTCTGAACCGTCAGTTCGCTTGAATCCTGCAGCAAGCGGAGCGAACCTGCACAAAAGAAAAACCTAACAAAATTCAAGAACTCGAATTACTTACGATTAGACCCGATGGAAAGAGGGGTGACACCGGCCACGATCAGCAGGAAGCACAACGTCGTCGCGTTCATCATGTTCATCCCAGTTCGTAACGCGAGATTCCAACAGGAGGAGAAGAACGAAATAGCTCTCGTAGGTTCAGATGGTTCGATGAACAGGATTCACCAGGTGCGTTCACTAGCTGATAGGAAGACCAACACTGTCGACAAGCGAGCTGAAAATCCCGTGTTCTCGGACAAACGACACCGATAGACTTCGACTGACTATGCAAGAGGGCATTGACAGATGCCAGATCGTAACTGCAACTCGGATACTTTCACTGCTGTGTGCAACGTGCACCTGCGCCTTCTTCGTCTCGAGACGAGAGACGAGTCTCTAGGCTAGACCATGTTGGAGTTGAGACGAAAGTTATATATACTCTAGATACTCTTTGATTTTTTCCCCAGATCTTGCTGAGATCTCGGCTAGACTGTGGAAAGCTGACTGCCACGGATCGCCTCTATTTTTCTGTCTTCGTACCGATGGTATTGATTCTTCTTTGTTTTTTTTTTTTTCTCCAAGGTTTTTTCCCCCAAGGTTCTAGCTTGTTTGACCAGAGATTGGTAGGATTTGCTTAATGTTGAAGCTATGGAAGTGGTAGAAATGATTCGCAGTTTTTTCGTTCGAATGTTTCGGTCTTTTCTTTTACAAATTTGGATGATCTTAAAAATTCTTCGTAAAATGTAGGAAATTATTCAATTCTTTCTTTAACTATAATACGTGAAATATATTAGGTTGTATAAAATGTAAAAAAGAGTTAATGATTGTAAAATAATTGTTTTTTAACAATTGATTATTGATAAAAATTGCAGAATTCGATTTACAGTACAAGTAATTATATAAAGGCGATACTACAAAGAAGTGAAGAGATGATTGCTGTAATATACTATGTTTCTGACAATACTGTCAGGCAATTTACATTAGCTTGTAATCATGATTGTGCAAGCAAATTTTCGGTAGGCTGAACACTTGGTATGGATTTATGAAAGTATTAAAGTTATAAAGATGCCATATAAGAGTTTCGTACTTGTTAACTGTTATATTACTGTGGACATATATGTTATATGTACAATTTCACTATTTCGATGTACAATGACTGAGATATACATTCAAAGTTCAAAATTAAATTTTTGCAGAATATATAAAATCACATAAGATGTAGTATTCATTCGTGAGTTTTTAAAAATCCAGTATATTTTTAACTTTATGTAATGATAGGTTTTACTTGACTGTATATCTGGTTGTCTTTAAAAAGGCGCAAAGAAATTCAGAATCGTTTGATATTGACAGATAATTCAATTAATAATTCAATTGATTGATTGATTGATATGTAATTCAATGATTCTTCCATACAAAGAGTTTCTTCAGGTAAAAAAAATAAAGCAAAAAATTATTTTTCGAAATCACTATCTTCATATTCACTCGATTATAATTTACTATATTTCTCTTACTTCAAATAGAAAATAGTAAAAGAAATTTCAAAAATACATTTCCATTGAATTTCTAAAATTTAAACCAATGCAAATTTTATAATAATGAAGAATTAAAATAAATACACGAGTGAATTGTATAAAAGTGTTACAAATAATGTATCTGAAAGCAGTAGGCACTTTGAAAGTCATGCCATTTAGTTTTGGAAATAAAAATTTGAAATAAGTTATTCTTGAAATGTTATTGCTGTAGCTCGTATTGTAATACCCATATATTACGTAAGGAACTTTCGCCTACTAAAGAGGTTACGCGTCTTCTCGTTTATTATACAAAAGGTATTATGATTAATTAAAAAATCAAACGTCGTTGTTTGCAAAATTTAATGAAAGATTTGCTTTACTTAGGCAATCTCTAAATTTCTTTGAAGAAATCCTACGTCAACCAGCAATCGCAAACCAACAACTCCTTTTTTGTTACTCGATTGTAATGTGGCCATGTAAGGATTGTGAAAACGAAGTTTGTACTTCGACACACCAAGGACAAAGACGTTCACTGGAATGTAAAGGAAAAAAAAAAAAAAGAAAAAAAAGATGCAATGGCAGAAAACACGAAGCAATATTTCGTTATTAGTAATCATTAGTGGATTTTTATGCGGAACTTAATGATGCAGTTGTGTTATCCAGAGATATATAAAACGTGTGATATATGAAATGTGTAATTAAATCGTGTATGCGTTTATGAAAAATTTGAAAATATAAAATTGTGTATGACTTGAATTGTAAAGCTATGGTAATTTACAAAATTTAAAGGAAAATGAAAAGAAATTATTTCGCTTCATAATACATATAGATATATATAAAAAAAAACTGCAGATGTTTTAGAAATATAACTAAGAAATGCAACAAATATATCATCATTAATATATAATATTCATTTTATAAATTTTTGTATTCTTAGAATTCACAAAAATGTGTATAATCTGTAGTCTAATAATAAATACTTTGCTTCAGATATTTTACGCATTTTTCCATATTACGTGTGTTTTATGTATGTTAGGACGGGATTAGGCCCGGATTAAAGCTCTGTTTACGACTTTGAATTTGAACAAACATCAAAAATAAATAAAAACTTTCGCTTATTTTTTTAATAGGAGAGACGAACCTTTTCCTTTCTTATTCGTACGAAATATAAATTTTCGCAAGAATTTCTAGAATTTAATGCTTATACCATTTTTCACTACTCAGTTTCTTTCAGTCAGGATGTTGGTCCCCTCCGGTGGTATTTCGATGCTGGATTATATAAGATCGGCTGAAAATCTTGCCACAAAACCCAACAGAGTTAACCTTCCTCTCAGACCTATGGCCGAGAGTGAAAGTGTAAGCGTCGTTCGTCCACACGTTTGCTTGGAATTTCGCTTCTCGTGCGTTTAATCGCGAACGTGTGGCCACGCCAGTGGCTGGCACGTTATCGATCGCCGAGATGTCATTGCCGATCAAGGTTTCTGTGATACTGATACTCATCTTACGTGCACCATCGACAAATGCGGACTTTGGTAAGCGAAAGACCTTGAAAGTTGATAAATCAGAATTCACTGAGGTGTTGGCTTGAGGACTCCAAGTAGTGGAACACATGGGTGATTCGATAAAGTTTTATTCAATGGAATAATTTGGAACAAAGTATGCTCTTTTAATTTGTGTAAGGAAGTTTCTTAGTTGGAAGTTGGTGATAGCAGGATGAGTAAAATGTTTATGACCTGTAGGATGTTCATAAAATTTTATTAATTCAGTGGAAGCTTGGGATGAAGATCTGAAACGCATTTAGTAGCTTTTTGAATTTATTTTTCATTTAATTTGTGACTGAGCAGTGGAGAAGAGAAACAACTTTCTTACGTGTTGTGACAGCAGTATGAGTAAAATGTTTATGACCTGTAGGATGTTTATAAAATTTTATTAATTAAGTGGAAGCTTGGGATGAAGATCTGAAACGCATTTAGTAGCTTTTTGAATTTATTTTTCATTTAATTTGTGACTGAGCAGTGGAGAAGAGAAACAACTTTCTTACGTGTTGTGACAGCAGTATGAGTAAAATGTTTATGACCTGTAGGATGTTTATAAAATTTTATTAATTAAATGGAAGCTTGGGATGAAGATCTGAAACGCATTTAGTAGCTTTTTGAATTTATTTTTCATTTAATTTGTGAATGAGCAGTGGAGAAAAGAAACAACTTTCTTACGTGGTGTGACAACAGGATGAGTGCGTGTGATTGAATAAAAAAGATTGGCTAAGATATAATTAAGTAGATTAGAATTAAGAGATGGTTTTCGTTTTAAACATTGGTGCATTAATAACAAGACGAGTGCAATGTGAATATGTCTGAATTGAAGATAAAAAATGTTATTTGTGAATTAAAGTTAAGAGAAGATTTTTTTATTTAGAAAAATTGGTGTTATAATCATGATATAAGTTGTCAGAATTGACAGGAATTTAGACATTGGTGTTATAATAATACGAGAATATTTATATGTATATGTGAATCAGCAGAAGATTGATAATTTAATAAAATGTTATTAATTTATAGATCAGAATTAAGAGAAGGTTTTTAATTTAAAGTTTGGTATTTTATAACGAGTACAATGTGTGGCTGTCAATTTAAAATGTTAAAATAAAATTCAAAAAGATTTATAAATTGATGATTGTTGTATATTTGTAATTGAGTAAGATATAATGTTGGAAAGAAAGTGAAGAAAATATTCGAGTTTTCACCGATGCGAATGAAGTTATGTTCATCAAGATATCACGTCGAAAACGTACGAATAAAATACGAAGTCGTAGACTCAATTTACGCAATTTCTTACTGTTAGCTGCTCTTGAAGCTAATTCCTTTCTACGATTCTTCACGTAACATCTCAGCGAGTTACGCGAAAGGAAGTTTCGACAGATGCTTCGTTCAAATATGTTACCGCGATATTGGATAACTTGACTTTCACCGTGGATAACCCTGTTATCAATATCTGAAACAATAATAAACAGATGGTGAATTTTTATCCAAATCTGTGCTTTTGAGAATGTAATTAAAAAGATCGTGGAAATCTCTTCTTAATTATTAATTAGTCTTTGTCAAAGAGCATGAAGGAATATTCAAATTAAAAAGATTTTAGTTTATTATCGGTGTTGAGAGTTAAAGATAAAATAATGGAAAATGTTTTTAGCGTGGATCTTTACAGAAGATTAAAATGAGGAAATTTTTGAAATCATTTTCCTTTAGAGAGGATAAAAAGAATACTGGACGAAGGTAATCCCGGAGATTTTCTCAATTATTTTTGCTCAAAAAGTGTATCGATAAACTTGCTAAACTAAAACCAGTAAAGAAATTCCCTCCAACTCTTACAGTCTAATATTCTCAAGTTTACAAACATTTAATTTTAATGAAATTAAAGCTTTATCTTTCATAAATTTTAAATTAAAAATTATTCTATTTTTTTATTCTAATCTTATACTTAGCAGAATTTAAATCTACCACGCTTTTGATTCATAATTAGATATTCCATCGACGTGTCCCCATTTTTTTTTTTTTTTGTCATAATAATTACTAATATATTTTTCATAATTTCAGCTGAAGCTATTACGATCTAGATTACTGCATATTTCATAACATAATTTTCTATTCTCCTAGAGTCTTAAAGTTTCCAATCTACTTTTTCCTTTTCAGTTCGTCATGCAACTTCTTGCTCCATATCTTTTCTCTTTCTTTTTCTTCTTTTTCTATTACAATTTTTATTTCAACCGTACAAGTTTTAATGGGCTTCTTCAACTGTAGTATTCCAATGTAATATTCTCCCTTTGCAGAGGACCATTTCACGGACTGTCATCCAAATGTGTCAGGATTCGACGAGTGCATACGAGAAGCGTTAAACGAAATTCGACCTTACTTCAAAACTGGCCTCCCCCAGTATAACGTAGACACTATCGATCCATTTTTCGCAAAGGAAGTGTCAGTATCGCGAGGAATGCCCAATTTAGGTTTCACATTGACGCTGAAGAACGTTACCGAGAGCGGATGGGTTAGGAGCAAGGTGACGAAATTCGTCAGCGACTTCACAAATTATAGAGTAAGCACAGATACTTGATCATCAGATTATATCAGATGTTTGTCGAACCTAATGGTATTCACGATCGAT